TCTGGTTGGTTTGTGGTTGGTTTATATTTTCATTTTAATCTATTGTCCACATGCTGCTTTGTAAACCCCATAACTCGAATGTGTAGATCATTCAGAATTTAAGATGAATTAATAGTATGGCTCTTTGGGTCATAGAAAACACTATTAAGACAACAATCTAAACATTTAAGGGGAAGAATCTTAAAGTCATATCATAGTTTCTTTTTTTAATATATTTCAAAAAGTAACTGACTTCACAAACACCAGCTCTAACATGATTTAGACAACTGAGAAACAGGCAAGTGTATTTTAAAATACTAAAATAAAATACATTTATACAAGTACAAAGCAAAACAATGCTGATAAAAATGTTAAACTTTATGAAAAAAAATCATTTGCAATTCACATCAAAATAATTTAACATTCTCTATCGTTTTAATAGCACAAGCTGCAACAACAGAAAAAAAGACAGATATGTGCACATCATTTTAAAACCAAATCAGTTAAAGTGCAGAAGAAAGTAAGTACAAGCACTTGTAGCCCACACAAATCTTTTAGGATTGGCACCATCTCTCTAAAACATCTATATTCTATATAGATTTCTAATTACAACACCACCAGCAGCTGCCATTGAATTCTAGAAATACACACAATATACATAGTATATTTGTTCACATTGGGAAGATCAGTGAAATTCAGCCAACTATTTTATACATGCTTCGTTCTTCAACAGATAGTAGAGCATCTGCCAGGCCTCAGACCCTCTTTAAAGTGAATTCCGACTTATCTTTATGCTTTTCACTGATCTGTATTTTTTCACAGTATAAAATTGTAAATGGTAACTATAGAGATTCTGACAGCTTGAGGGTTATTAATAAGCTGTGGCTAAATGTGAACTCAGGTAATACCTTTGAAGTCTCCAAAACATGTACATTTTGCCGGGAGACTAGCACAGGAAATGCTTTTTCCTTAAAAAGTGTTTAATTCCTGGTTTGGAAGTCACAGAACTGCAGCAGAGCCATTATACAATTCATGGACAGTCAGAAATAGCGCCTAGTCTACCTGATCACGTGCTGGTAACAGCAGAAACTTGGGAAAGACTGTTACCAACAAGGATTGGCACATTGGGGGGTTTCTTTTTTTTCTTTGCTTCAATCAAATCTCATACTGTTTTCCTTTCCACACTCCCTTTCTGCTCCCCACCCCTACCCCAGAGAGTTGGTTCTGGTTCTTTCCAATGCAGATACAGTCTTCTCAGGCTGCCACCACTCTTTCCCACAATAGAAGAAGGGTGGACTTCTTAGGTAGTCCGTATAATTTGATCAAACCAGATCTTCTTTTATTCATTCTGGGACCAAACTGTCCTTTAGGGTCACTTTTCTGAAACTTAGCATTCCACTGTACTTTCCCCTTCCTTTTAGTCATGCTGGTCCTGACTGAATTATCACTGGGCACTAGGAACAGACTGTTTTCAAGGAAATTCAATGAAAATAGGTACTCAAATGAATTGTGAAGTTCATATCCTAGCCCTAGAATGAATATTCAGTTCTCTTTGTATTGTAGACTTATTACTTGGAACCTGGTATTAGAATTGGCAAAGAGACAGAGTTAGCATCATTCCAAAATAAAAGATCCCAAGAATGCATTACTAATAATATTATATATTATACAATGTATTGAATGAAGTGGCAAAGGGTTATATAAATACACTGAAAAATACATCTTGTTCTCCTCTAATTGAATAAATTATTTTTCTTATTACAGTTGACTATTAGCTCATATGGAATTATCAGATGGCAACTTATTCGCATTAAATTTTAATTTCTAACGGATTTTCTCACAAGGTAGTGTACTTTTAAAAGAAATATGTTACTAAAAAATTAGAAAGGAATTTGATCATGGAGAAAGTTTTAAAAATGTTCTTCTATTGGTCAACACAGTGAAACTTGTACTTAAGAATACAATGGAAACCAACGTAAGTGTTTTATGAAACAAAATTTTAAAACTCAGATAGAGCATACTTAGAAAGGTTTTGATACTTAAATCAAGACAGTAATCCCCAGGTGAATGCCACCCTTTTGATGAGAATCCAGGGATATTAATACTCAAAATATTTACATTTGTTTTTAAAGTAGAGGCAGACATTTGCTTTCAATGAAACCATAAAACTTAGCTAGATTCACTGTTTCAAGAGTCATTATAATATTTGGGATCGAGGGGCTCTGATGATGCTATTTTTAAATAGTCATTGGAGGTCTGATTTAAAAAAATTTATATTTTAGTAAATTAATGTTAGCTTTTAATGTTTTCTATTGGGAGATTTGAGTTAATATAATTTAATATAAGAACAGGTATCAGGAAAGTAAAGTGGAGCAGTATATTTATTATAACTTTTAAAAGTGGGGAATGATAAATTACGTTAATGGATATATTTCCATTTCTCAATTCCTTTTTTTAAGTAGATGTGAGATAAAAAATACTTACCAAAATGAGGATATTGAGCTAAAGGAAAAAGGTTTTTATTTATCTTTCTCTCTGCTAAAAATATACTTCTGCCTCATAGCAAATCTTTTTCATAAGGCTATCTTTAGTATAAGGCTGGGTCAACTGAACTTTAAATTTATAGGACACCTCCTCCTTTTATTACTATCCTTATTTAAAAATCAAAAACATTTGGCACCTGAGGATAGCTGTAATGGGAGGAAGAAAGAGATGACAGTGGATGCAGGTCTTGAGCTATGAATTCTACCTGTATGAGCCTATCAAAGCACAGGTATTTCTATTATAACTTTAAATCTCTTTTCTGCAGTTTTTAAAAAGTGACAGTATGAAGTGCACAAAATTATATTAATAATTATTTTAAAAAGGAAACTATTAATAATTGCTTTGCCTCTTTTTGGAATGGCTAAGAAAGATTGTGTGGTTTATATTCTTTAAGGTTCCTCTGTTTAAGTTTTCTGTATTGCTTTGAAAAATCTACATTTGTCATAGTTCATAGCTGCCCTGTTTAAGCAGCCAAGAAAAGTTAAAATCACTGCTCACTGGCATAGCTAAATCTCTGCTATGCCGACTTGACACAGTTTAAAATTTCCAGTGTATTAAGATTGTGTTAATTTTTTGAACAGTCCCTCCAATCATGACAATGTCTTCATTGGGTCTATGGACCGTTCTTCCAGTGGTGGGACTTGAAAAGAACAGAGGAGCTCTTTGTGCATCAGGTTTTCAAAAGAAAGGAATGAAGAAGCCCAAATGCGTACTTTAAATATTTTAGCTGGCAATGCATTCATAATGAGGAGTGGCCACATTTCATGAAAGAGATAGCCAAGCTGGAGCTCAAGAATTATTATTATAAAGAGAATTTCCAGCTACACAACGCACCCCAGTGAGGGAATTACAAAACAGTATTCCAGAAAATATTTTTTGCTACTCCAGTATTGATTGGCAACATGGTGAAATAGTCAAGTTCCACTGGTTTTCTTAGTTAATGGAGGTGAATTGAAATAACTAGGTGGAATCCAAGATGCAGGCTTTTGGAAGAGGATGTCACAACCAAATTGGAGAGGAAAGTCTGGTAAAAGCCCTACATACATCAGCGCAGCCCTCTTCATACAGTTGTGTGTTGTGTATGGGACACACTCACGTCAAGGCCTCAGTAAATACTGGGCCCAAGTACTGCTTTCCAAGGTCTTTAAAGGAAAGAAAAAACGAAAAAAAAAAAAAAAGAGGAAGAGAAAAGTTGACGTTTTGGTCCCAGATTTTGAGTTTGTTAGAAAATGTACATTCATGTTTGGTGAATCAAAGAATCTTCTGGGAAAAGAATTAACGTAAACAAACAAAACATATTTTTACAGTTGCTTATTAACTATGCCTTTTCCCCTCCATTACGCTGTTTCACACTCATTGCTTCCCTAGAGCAAAGCACTTAGTATGTAACTGTTTCAACAGACTCCTTGTCAGCCCTCAAAAACAGAAGCAGTGTTTCTTAAAAGCCCATGTTTTCTAAGGCCACTAGAAGAAGATCTGCCAAAAGATTTGTAGTTGGTGTCTTCGTCGGTTGATGTTGAATAGCACTATTAATCTCTTGTTTCCATTACAGGTGTCCTTGGCGTCTTCCACCTCGGGTTTTAATCAGGCGACTGTGTCTGTGGGAACACCGGAGGTCTCGGCTCCGTTTGGGAACCCAGCGTGGTTTCCAAGGACATTCACAATGACGAGGAGCTCTGAGTGTAATCTCTTATGATAAGTGTGTCGTATTTGGGAGACGATGGGATACAGAGGGCCGACTCGGACACTGGCGAGTTGGGAGTGGTACTCCCCGAGTCCACCGAGTCTCTGAAGGGGGACGGCGGGGTGAGAGCCACCAACTCCTCCAGGTCCGGCTTGCCGGCCGCAGCCTCGGGCCCGGCCGCCGGGGGCTCCCGGGCAGCGCCCCCAGCCGGCGGGGCCGCGGCCGCGGGCTGCGCGCCACCGGTGATCTCAATGGCGGGCAGCGGCTGGATCTCGGCGAACGTGGTCATGGTGGTGGGCAGCTGGATCTCTTTGGGGATCAGGTAGGACGAACAGAGAGGGGCGCCCGCGCCGGGGCCGGGAGCGGCGGTGGACAGCATCATGGAGTTGAGCTCGCTGATGTTGGCAGTGAAGCGGGTCACCACGCTGCTGATCTGCTCCATGAGCGAGCCCTGAGACGAGCTGCTGCGCGCCGCGGGCTCCGAGTGCAGCGACGGCAAGTCGTCGTCCGTGCGGCCGGCCGAGCCCGCGCGCTGGCTCAGCGTGCTAATGGGCGACGGCGAGCGCGGGCGCGCGGGCGCGGGGAAGTGCTCCTCGGCCTCCACCACGTCGTACAAAGCCTTGGGGCCGGCGTCCGGGGGCTCGGGCCCGCCTCCTCCCGCGCCTGCGCCGCCCGCGCCCGCGCCGCTGCCCGCGCCGCCCGCGCACAGGCCGCGGCTCTCCGTGCTCTTGGGGAAGGGCTTGATGACGGCAGTTTGGTTGGGGTTCTCTTTCTTGTTGATGTGGATGGACAGCCGCTGCCACAGGTGCTGCCCCCGGCTACTCTTCTCGTTCTGCGCCCACGTGACAGATTTTCCATTGGAGCTGCGGAGAGAAGAGAGACAAGAGGTGACTCCGCGAGGCCCCGGACGGGAGGGCTTCCCCGGTGGTGGGCGGCCATGGGACTCGGACTGGGGAGGGCTTTTCTTGTTTTCTCAGGAAATAGGGCATCAAAGGACACCAGGGAAAGAGATCTTGGACGTGGCTTTTGCTTGCTTGAGTGAAAGGCTGCTTTCTTGTATCTGGTCTTCCGTTCATCATGACCACGGAAGTGTGTCAAAGGGGATATTAGTGTGGATAAAGGGCTGTGTATGGAGATTCTGCAGTAGTTCTGAGACCACTCGTGAGTGCAACAGCTGGTTAGGCTGCAGACCTAGAAGCTAGGGCTTGCAGTATTGTGGTTGTGTGCAGACGTTCCGGGGACAGGGCACGGGCTTCCCAAAGTGGGCAGCCTCTGAAAGGAAACAGAACTAGGACCTCAGCTCAACCCAGTGATCAGAGGGCAGGGAAGGGGTAGGAGTCAGGGGTTACCAGGAAGTAGATAGTGTTTCCAATTCAGTTTTTATTCTGCACGCCCATGGTTGGTGCATTTAACTAGGGATTTCTGTAAGAACTCCTGACTTTGAACATGTTTGTACTTAGTCTGGCTTATCTGGTGGAAGATACAAATTCAGTGAACACATACACTAATTTGTAATTAATTAGAACTCTTCTACTTGGTAGAAATTTCCTCACGCATTTATTTTAAGGCCTCAAACTTGAATAACAATTCTGTGAGGGAGCGTGCAGTGTTATTGCCTTTGGCACCTAGCTTATAGTTTCGAATTAGGGTCTCGATGAGTGTTGTCTGACTGACGTGGTTTCTTAGGACCTTTCTCCCTCTTCTTTTCCCCAAGTAGTCCTTTTTCGTCTCTGCTCTGGGAACTGAAATCTGCTCTGGTGAAGAAAGAATCTAATGCGGCTGATGCCTCAGCCTCAGAGCCTGACTGTGCCTTCCTTACCTGGAACCACAAACTATCGAGAGCCTCACCTATGGTCAGGTGATGTGCTCTGACCTTCAGGGATCTTATATGGAGAGATCCTGGGGTGATTTCCCACAAAGGAATACAAGATCTCTGTAACTAGGGGCTCTGCTACATCCAGACAGCTCTGTTCCAGGTGCTGTGACCAAGAGATAGCCTTGGGCAGTCTCTGAACAAAGGCTTTGACCACCCAATTTTATCATCTCAGCTGGTGGCTATTAAACTTAATTGTGCATAGGACTCACCTGGGGTATTTGTCAAATACCCTGGTGAACCCCAGGAGATTCTGATTGTCCAGATTGGGTTCCACGGATCTATGCATTTTACAGGCACTCAGCCCCCTGCTCCCTAAAGTGATTCTGCAGCAGGTGTTTCACAAACTGAGAAGTTCTAACAAGAAGTTATCCTTTCTCCCTGGCTTCCCATTGCTCCCTTGGCCTCCTTGCTGGAGGGCTGACCCGCCTGTATCAGACAAGGGACTGAATTGTGTTTGGAGCCCACCTGCCTTGGGACTGCCAACTGCAACTTCGAGATTCTCTTTTGCTTGAGATGTCCACTCCCTTGATAAAGGGCCACTGTTTCTGCAGCCCCTATAACAACATGCTTCCTGCCTCTTTCCCACACTGCTCCCCATGTCTTCATCTGTCCCTTTCCACTTTGTGGTCTTCCTTTCTTTGCTCCTTGCACTGAAATCTCATTCCATTTAATATACCCAGTGTATTGCAACCTGGTGTCCTTCAGAATTCTTGAATGTGAAATGTCCTCCACCCTCACCCCTTTTCCTGCAAATAATGAACAAATTATTTCCAGGTTTGGAGGTTGCTGTGCATTCTCAGCACAGCAGAAGGGACCCTGCCAACCTGTTAACTTCCTTCCCAGAGAGTTTCAGGGTTTGTTTTTATGTTTTTGCATTAACCTGACCTGCCACCCTTTATGTTTTCAGTGCATTACTTTTCTTTTTCCCAAGTGTCCACTAACTTTTGGAACATGGCACAGAAGAAATGGGCCAGATGATTTATGGGATTTGATTGGGAGGATGGTTGCCAACAACCCCATTTCTCTCCTACTGGCAAGATAAGAAACAGACATGTCCGGAGGGACAATTAGTTTTTCAGGTAGCTGAGGCCACTTTTGACACAAAGCATGGGCTAGAAACTAGAAGTATAACTGGATTCATTCTACCAAGCTCTAGGAAAGTTTTTGCTCCCAGCACAGAGAGGTTTTGATGGAACATAACTTTAACAGTGACAGTCATTGGAATCACATGTAGCCGGGCTCCAAAACATGAGAGCAGATTAAAAAACCTTTGGGTTTTCAATGTGGGATAAGGAAACTGTCCTAACCAAGCAATCTGTACAAAGTACTGCCATCTTTCCTGGCCATGTCTTTGCTCACAGTGTCACAGGGTCTGTGGCCACTTGGGAGAGAGTGCACCGGACAATCTGAATAACAATGGAAATGGACAGAGGACACACCAGAGACATGGAGTCCAAATCTGAGCACTTCATTTCATTTCTTGGGTCATGGAATATTTTTTTCTCCAAAGCAAATGGAGATTCTTAAGAAAAAACTGACCTACAAGAGACGTTAATCTGTTTATCAATAGAATGTAGTTTCTATGAAGACAGGGACCTTATCTACCTTGTTCACTGGCATACAGCGAGATCTTAATGAGCGTTTGATGGATGAATAGGATTCTTAAGGCAACAGGGCTGTTGTGTGGTGTATGGAAAGTGCAATGGACGAAGGATCCTAAAATCTGTATTCTAATTCTGGATCTGCCATTCTGGACGCTTGGAAAATAATAATCTCCTTAAGCCTCAGTAAAAAAAAGCGGATAGTATATCATTTGGTGAAGATTGTTGTGAGGAGATGAAATGAGACAATGAAAGTGAAAGGTTCTGGTAAGGAGAAGGTATCTAAGATGTTATTTTTTGCATTCTGTGTGAATACGAAGTTTCAAGAAACAAAAATAATATATTACAGTCGGCCCTCTGCGGTTTCGCATCTGCGGATGCAACTCAAAGCAGTCAGGTCTAATGTTGGTTGAATCTGCGGATGCGAAACCTGAGGATACCGAGGACTGACTGTATTCATTGTACTGTGCGGTTTATGTAAGGGATTTGAGCAGCTTGGCGTTTGGTCTCTGCTGGGGCTCCTGGAATTAATACCCAGGGGATATGAAGGGCCGACTGTACCCAAGGCTGTTTTGAGCTTTGGTTGAGGAACAGAGAATTCAGTGCAAAGTAAATATTTATGGTAAGGCCATAACATACTTCTGGTTGTTCCTTCTTACCCTGACCGATTGTACCCAGCTTTGGAGTTACAGGGGTTTTTTTCTGCGGCGTGTCTTTTCTCACCCTATGCTGTCACCTTGGGCGATCACCTCTCCTCCACTAAATTTAACATTATTCCACTTCCAAAGTTTACTTCTTCCTGATCTTTCATTGAGCTGCCTCCTCTGCCTTTTCCTTCTTTTTAACCTAAGTACTTCCTATCTTTTTTTTTTTTTTCTTTTTTGACTTTTCCTTAATTGCTTTTTCTTGAAGGAAGCTTTCCTGACCCTGCTCCTGACTGGGTTAGATTCCCATTGTCCCTGCCGTAGGCACTGAATAACTCTTTGTTGTATGTCCATCTCATCTACTGGATGGAGTGTTTTGAAGGCAGAGACAGAAGGTTCTTCATTTCCTGTTATATCCACAATACCCAGTGCATTGCCTGCTCAATAATATTTTTTGGCTAATAATTGAGTGGATAAATGCATTCCATTTTTAAAAATTCATACTAATTACTTTTGTTAGAATTAAGTTTTAAAAATCATTCAATATTAATGAAATTCTTTTATCTTGAGGATCCATCTACTTCTTATATAACTCAATGTAATCATTAGTACTCAGTGTGTACTGAAAAGGATGTATGAAAAGGTATTTCATAAACTAAGTACAACAAGACAGATCTTGATATCTATCATGAAAATCACAAAGGAAGTGTTGATTTCTTTTTTGTAGTTCATATATATCTGTTTTAGTGAAACTTCTCAGTGATGACAGTTTTTTGAGGCAGTTACCAGTAGGGGACCCAGAATGTGGCTCCAAGATCTGGCCATGACTGATGTTGGGCAAGTCACTTAATACCTTTGAACCTCTTTGCTTATTGGTAAAAAATAGAAGTGAACCACCCTTTCTGACCTCACGTGATTTCTGGGAGGAACCAAAAGAGTAATATACATTAGGGTGTTTTATAAAGCATAGCACCTCTGCAAGGGGTTATCGCCATCAAACTTTCCATTCAATGGAGGTAAAATGTTGTTTATTAGTATTTAGGCTGATAATTTTTTTTTTTTTTTTTAAACATCAGGATTATACATTTGTCCTAGGGCCTGAGGTAAGAAAAAGGAACAAACTTTTCCTTACCTGTCTACAGCACTTCATCTTCCCCAGCTAATATTTTGGGCATTAGAAAAGGAGGAAGAGGAAAGAAGATTGGAGGGAGAGACAGAACCAATGGTCTGCTACATCTGGGAAGGAGGACAAACTGGCCAAACAAAAGAGAAGAAAACAACACAAAAACCTTGGTCTTTGCAGGCACCAATCAGCCCTTTTGCCATATATAATACTATGTAGTCTAGTGTTCTCATTTTTATGATGATTTGCTCTTTATTTCTGGAAAAACAAAAACCACAAAATTCAGCCTTTCAGTAAGAAAGAGGGTTATTAGAAGGTTAGGCTTTTTTGTTTGTTTGCTTTTTGTTTAGATTTTGGGTTTGCCAAAATGACACCTTCTACCTTTATTCTCAGAAGTTTGTTCTCCCTCTTCTCTTCCATGTGGGACACTTAACTAACTTATTCATTTCAAGCAGGCTCCAAAGGTCAGCTCAATGACCTCTCCCAATTTCTCTACTCATCCCCAAAACCTGCAGGCATTAGAGCATACTGCCATGGCGCACCGTCGTTAGGAAGCAACATGTTAGTAAAGAGAGAGTTTGACTGTCAAAAAACTCCAGGGATTTAGAATTTTTGTGTTCATTTTAAATGGCTGTTGAATGATCTGTGTGATTTTTTCCCCTCAGAACTCGTTTAGGGTTTTATTAATGGCATATAAGCAATTAAGATTCTCAGAATATTTCACTGAATTAAAAAAAAAACTAGGCCCTTATCCTCCTTTTGTTACATTACATTGTTTATTAATACTTTCCTAAGTTGCATAGTTTCAGGGCATAAGAAAAATCAAATGTATCCTCTGAAAATCAAAAAATTATTTTTATGAAAAAATTATCTTCATTACTAAACCTCTCTTTTTTTGTGATTTTTGAGTTAAGGGGTAGCCAGGAGAGAGGTATAGTAAGGTTATGAGCTTCCTAATACAAAAATGTATTTAAAAAATACAAAAACCTTGTAACATCATTAGCAAATATGTCTTTGGAATGACATCAGACAATATTAGGTCAATAAAATAATTTTATGAAGTAAGAATATTATAAGCAGAAAATTTGCAATTGCAGTTCCATTTTCTGCACATTTTCTTAAACTTTTAATTTTTAAAAATTTTTTAACATCTTTATTGGAGTATAATTGTTTTACAGGGGTGTGTTAGTTTCTGCTTTATCTTAAACTTTTATAAATCAGTCTATTTTACTTTCAGTAATTTGTTTTGAACTACAAAATATAGAAATATAGTTTTAAAAAATACTGAGGAATCTGATATTGTTTATATTCAGGCATTCTAAATTATGTGGGAGAATTTCTTTCTGAGCCTTGCCTAAAACCTGACATCTTGATTTTGACAATTACACTGAAAAACACACTGTAATATATAAGAAAATGGCAGAATCATCTATATAAATTTACCCACTTATAGCATAAATGGATGTAAATAGCTATTCTGCTGTCAAAAACAATTTAAATGGCCAGGATGATATATGCATTAGAGATGCACATATAGAGAAAAACACTTGGGTAAATGGAAATGAAGTCAAGGACTAAATTACCTGATAGAGGCATAATAATCAAAGCAATACCACCTGTTTTCATAGTGCTTTATAAAGCACTTTTAGGAACACTGATTATCAGAGGTTGATAGGATCAAAGTGTTTATCCTCCTTCCAAAAATGAGAAAACCGAGACTCAGAATAGGTGATTTACCCAGGGTTACACAGAAAATGACAAAGCGGGGACTAATACCATGTCATGATTTTCAATTCCATTTTCCATGACAGTACCCTGTTCATATTTGTTTTTTGAAGTGAGCTCTCCTTATTCCATGGCAGAGAGCCTCAGATGTAACCTGTGATGCTATGTGTGTTTAAGTAGATAAGTTAGTAGTAATTTGATTTATATTCTCTCTTACCCTGTATTGCTTTACTTCTTTTTTTTTTTTTTTTTTTGCCGTCAACGGGACAGTCACCATTGTGGCCTCTCCCGTTGTGGAGCACAGGCTCCGGATGCGCAGGCTCAGCGGCCATGGCTCACGGGCCCAGCCGCTCCGTGGCACGTGGGATCCTCCCGGACCGGGGCACGAACCCGTGTCCCCTGCATTGGCAGGCGGACTCCCAACCACTGTGCAACCAGGGAAGCCCTGCTTTACTTCTTAATCTTGACACTGCAATATATTTTGCAGTCTCAAGAAAACACCCTGCATCTCTCTTTGGTTGCTACCTCAAAGAGCACAGGTTGATTGAGCACCTATATTTGTCAAGGATGATGACTGGATGCCTTTATGATGAAGGCCCTTGAAGCTTACAGCCATATACGTTAATATTATAAGGCAGTTTCAGCCTTTTTTTTTCATGTTGTGATTCAGCAGAAGACAGTTGTCCTGTGTATAGCACACTTATTTTCTCTCTGACTTATTTTGGAATACCAGTAAATGAGAGTGGTGTAATTTCAGGGATAATCTTAAATCTGCACTATTTTGAAAATTTTGGTATTTCATCTAATATTGGTAGTAAGTGATTTGTGGTACCTTTGCCAATGATTTTGATTCATTGGTGCTTTTTGATATTGCGGCTGCGAGTTACTGATGTAAGAGACTTCCCTCAAAGAGGGTATAATTGATTTCAAGAGAACATACTTACAGAAGAAGGCTAGCAATATGAATTACAGTATTCTGATAGAGGTTGTTTTCCTTTTACCTAGGACCTTGAAATGAGGACGCAGATGGCCAGGAGGAAGGATGCTAAACATGAGGTGAGTGAGAGATGGTGGAGCATGGGAACAAGCAGTCAGTTCATTGAGTTCTTAGAGGGGACGGATCACAAGGGATTCAAACCTTCACAAGAAGAAATCACTTCTAGTGGGAGGGGGTTGGCCAGGGAATGTTGCCTGCCTACAGGAGGCAGATTGCACCTAGGCCTTGAATAATTAGTAGGTTATGGCAAAATCCAAAAAGAGAGTGCTAAGAATTGCTCTCCAGGAAGGATAGCAGTGACAGAAGTCCAGGAATCCACAAAGAATTTTCCAGGAAATAACCAGTAGTCCAGTTTGACTGTGTAGGTATAGAGTAAGAAGTTAAAGCATCAGAAGGTAGAGTTTAGACTTTTTTGTCTGCTGTAAAAATTCTTCCTGGCCACCCCTGACCTACAAGAGTCTTCTTTCTTCTATTGGATTGGCCAAAAAGTTCGTTCAGGTTTTCCGAAACATCGCACAGGAAAACCCGGACGAACTTTTTGGCCAACCCAATACTTTCTTTTGCTATTTTAATAACTCATTAGTAATCAGCCTTGGACTTCTTATTAGTGTCTGGAATAAATGGGTGGTCTAATATGTTAGACCAGAAAGATGCTCTGATTATTAGATACATATGTCATCTACATGCTTGATCAATCAATAAATGAATATATCAAGAAGTACCCATCATTTTTCTCTGTTGTTCTTCAACTGTAAGAATTCTCTGTTGCTATTTAATATTTTATGTATTTGATCATCTTTCTCGAGCCCAACAAAAACAGTTGAACTCAGGAACCATATATGCCATAATCTTCTTTAAACCTTCACCACAGCTTCATCCATTGACCTTATTCCTTGTCTGGCCCCAGTCCTGGTCCTACTTCAGGAAGACGTTCAAGCCTAATTAATATTTACGTTAATTAGTCCTTCAGGCAATGAGGAACCAAGAAGATTTGACACAAGCAATAGTGGTACCCAGAGTAGATTTAAGAGCTTGTTTTAATAGTGCAGGGATACAGTGTAAGATGCTAACAGTTGTGGCCAAAATGAGGATGGAAAGGAACATATTGCTATGAAAACCATTGTGAAAAAAAGACATTTGTCCTTGCGCTTTGGGTTTTTCTTGTTGGTATTAGAGGAATTCAGAGAAAGGGTTGCTCACGGGGGAAAGAAGTTTCAGGGAAGGATTTGCAAATAAAGTGGAGCTTACCGAGGCCTTAAAGCCTGGGGAATGTTAAAATCACATGGATAAACAAGATCCGGTTAATATACATCTCGCATATACGGCCAAGAAACTAATGCCATGTGTTTAACCCTGTGAAACCCTTCCAACAACCCCGTGGTGGACTTTTGCCTCTCTTTTAAGTAGCTGGAGCGGGAGTAGTGGCTGCATGCTTCTAAGATAATTCCCTCAGAGGACATCTTTTAGTAGGCATTTAGTCCCTAATAAAATCCTAGCGGGAGGAGAACCATTCAGCCCTATTTTAACTTACCTTTGGTCTAACAGCAGCGGAGCCCTTTTCAGAATGTTCCATGGCCAATCAGGGTGGGTTATTAAAGGGCCTGATGGTCTAGGATTGCTGCTACTTCCCCCAAGTTTTTATAAAGAGGAAGCATCTAACGCAGGGCATGCAGGAGCGTGTGCCAAGCAGAGGTAGTTTGTTGGATCATCACAGAGTTTTCTTTCTCAAATTAAGCTATTTCTTTCGATCCATAATTCAGTAAGCCAGACTCAAAACTAAACTCCTCATACTGAGATATAAGTTCTAGGTTTAGTTGAGGTGCTTCAACTAAGATTAGAAGATTTTTTTTTTCCAAAATAGGAAATGATTTTTTTTCCCCAAAACAGGAAATGATTTTTTTCCCCCAGCCATCACTATAATGCCCAGATTGCAAGTGAGTAAAGAAAGAACAAAAGAAGACACAGCTGGGCTTCCCTGGTGGTGCAGTGGTTGAGAATCTGCCTGCCAATGCAGGGAACACGGGTTCGAGCCCTGGTCTGGGAAGATCCCACATGCCGCGGAGCAACTGGGCCCGTGAGCCACAACTACTGAGCCTGAGCTTCTGGAGCCTGTGCTCCGCAACAAGAGGCCACGATAGTGAGAGGCCCGCACACTGCGATGAAGAGTGGCCCCCGTTTGCCACAACTAGAGAAAGCCCTCGCACAGATACGAAGACCCAACACAGCCAAAAAAATAAAAATATACATAAATCAAAAAAAAAAAAAAAGACACAGCTGTTTCGTGCCTGTGGGCTGAAGCTTCCAGGAAGACTTTGTGGAAGAATCCAGCTTGATTTAAACCTTGAATAAAACATGGGATTGGGATTGATGGCAAAGGAGAGTCTTGGAATGATAGTAACTCCCGTTTGAATAGAACTTTCTACTTCACAAGGTGTTTTCACCTGTGTTATTATATTTGCCCTTCACAACAGCTGTTTGACATAGCGCTTCTAATGATGTATTTATAGGTCTGTTCCTGCACAAAACTTGGAACACTCCAAGGGCAGCCACTACATGCATCTCCTGTGTTTAATATGGTACCTGATGCAGAGTAGGTAGGCTGGGAGTGTCAAGCAAATGAAGTAAATTCTTTCACCTTGAGTGCTTGGTATAGACAGGTATTATTAACCTGTATTATAGATGCAAAAACTGCGGTTTATAGAACTTAACTAAGTTGTCTAACTCAAAAGGCAGAACAGTGCCTCAAATATGACCCTAAATCCAGATCACTGCCACCACGCAATATTGTCTCTGTGCTGAGGGCCAAGATACACACTGAACCAAAGGGCTGACAAGACATACCTTTGTGGAGCAGCAAGGGAAATGCCAACACCCAAGTTTGTGTCCATAAAATGACCTGATAATAAATTCCAAAGCTCTGTGTCAACATTCACCTGAACATTGCAGAGATGACTCCGGAGGGACTGTAGGATAAGAGAATGTCCCCGGAATTCTACAGTGGTTGCTGAAAACATGATTTCTGTTTAGACAAAATATTCCTTTTGACCTTAGTTAAAGCACCTCAGCTAATGCATGTAACTTAAATCTGATGTATGAAGAGTACTCTGATTTCGAGGCTTTGAATCCTGGTTGGACATCTACCACTAACATGCTTATTATGTATAAAAAGCTCCTCATTTAAGAAAGCAATTTTTTGGATTATTTTTGCTTATTGCATAAAATGGGCCATGCCACAGATGTGAGGCACTAAGTCGATTCCAGTTCCATTCCCTTTGGGTTGCTTCACGTGCTTCATGATGTATCTTTTCATTCCTTTCCTCCCTCCCTCCTTCCTTCCTTCCTTGTATTATGGTAAGACACTTAAAATGAGACCTACCCTCTTAAATTTTTTAGTGTACATTACGGTATTATCACTTCACACCTGTTAGGATAACTATTAATCAAAAAAACTCACAAAGGATAACAAGTGTTGGTGAGGATGTGGAGAAATTGGAACCTTTGTACAAAACGCAAAATGCAAAATGTTGCAACATCTGGGGAAAACAGTATGGAAGTTCCTTAAAAAATTGAAAACAGACTGCCACCTGATCCAGCAATCCCACTGCTGGGTATATATCCAAAAAATTGAAATCAGGATCTCAAAAGAGGTATTAGCACCCCCATGTTCATTGCTGTATTATTCATAGTAGCCTAACAACCTAAATGTCCATTGGTGGATAAATGGATAAAGAAAATGTGTCGCTTCTGAAGAGACATTTTCCCAAAGAAGACATACAGATGGCCATCGGGTACATGGAAAGGTGCTCAACATCACTAATCATCAGGGAAATGCGCATCCAAACCCCAATGAGATATCACATCAGACCTGTTAGAATGGCTCTTATCCAAAAGAGAAGAAATAACAAGCGTTTGCAAGGATGTGGAGAAAAGGGGACCCTTGCACACTTTGGTGGGAATATAAATTGGTGCAGCCACTGTGGAAGACAGTTTGGAGGTTCCTCAAAAAGTTAAAAATCACACTGCCATGCGAAGCCAGCAATTCCAACGCTGGGTATTTATCCAAAGAAATGAAATCAATATCTTGAAGAGGTATCTGTACCCTAACGTTCGTTGCAGCATTATTTACAATAGCCAAGATACGGAAGCAACTGAGTGCATTGATGGACAAATGGATAAAGAAAATGTGCATAAAGAAAATATCATTCAGCCTTGAAACAGAAGGAAATCCTGCTGTTTGTGACAACGTGAATGAAACTTGAGGGCGTTATATTAAGTTAAATAAGGCAGATACAGACAAATACTGTATGATCTCATATATGCCATGGAAAGGAAAAATATCTTGCTTATAATGTTCTTGTGAGAACTTAATGTATAACATTTGTGAAGGGACTACCCCGGTATCTGATGCACAGTAATTACAGTAATGGAAGCAATTGTTATTATTAGTCTTACTCGTTTTAGAACATCTCTAAATATAAGTTATAACATTAATTTGAAGTTGACTTTGGGGAGGAGTGAAGAGAAGACTACTGCAGCCATCCTAGCCTATGGCTCAGCACCCAGCTGGCCTCTGCTGTGCTGCAAAGGCAGCCTCTTTCTCTTCTGTGGACTCTGAATTTTTATCGTTATACAGTGTCCTTCTTTATCTTTCTTTATGGCCTTTGTTTTAAGGTCTATTTTGTCTGATACGAGTGTTGGGACCCTGCTTTTTTGTCATTTCTGTTTGCATGACATGTCTTTTTCCCATGCCTTTGCTTTCAGTCTGTGTGTGTCCTTTGCCCTGAAGTGGGTCTCTTGTAGGCAGCATATTGTAGGCTCTTGTATTTTTATCCGATCTGCCACTCTGTCTTTAGATTGAGCATTTTATGGACTCTGAATTGTATATAACTGTGTGCCTAGCTGTTTCTGAACACTCGATTCAGGTTTATTTTATTATCATTTAGTTTCTATTACTCTTAATTCTATTTGCACTGGCATTGGTTATTGTTTACGATATTAAATGAGGAGTTAATATGATAAACAATTGTTCTATGGGAGAAGGGTTCCATATTTGCACTGC